CTTGCGCTGTGATTGGCTCAGAAGGTCGAGCGGGGCGGGCTCATGTTCAGAACTTCTGATTCAAATCAACATGATGGAGGGAGAGGGTTAGGGTTAGATGACTCCGTGTATCTACGGACCACTTGTTTTTCTTTATTAAACAAGTAAACGGAAGAGTGTCTGCGAGGCGTTTTTGCTTTTTACCTTACTAAATGGTCTAATGGTCATTGTAGCGAGGGGGGGGGCGCGATACTCGCGGAAGTGATTTCAAAACAAAAGCACTCGTTTGCTTGGAACGTTGAACATAATTATAAACAAGGGGAAACAAGGTGAATTTAGCGATCACAACGAAAACGGCCAAGACACACATATAGCCCAGAAAATGAATGTTATTAAGGCTGTAAATATAATAAACATGTGTCTAAAATGGACAACATTGTTAGAAGATTTAAACTATACAGCGATTCTGCACTGCGGTCACTCAGCCGTCTCTCGCGTTTGTCTTTTCAAATCAGCTGCTCTTCATATTTTACAAATATTTTTTACTGAAAGTTCTTAATAAAACTGACACTGTTGGACTCGAGGGGAGAAGAATAAATGGACAACATTGTTACGAGATTTAAACTATACAGAGAGCCGTTTTTTCAAATCAGTAGCTCTTCATTTTCTTTTTACAAATATATTTTACCACAAGTTCTTCATAAAACTGACACTGTTGGACTCGCTACTAGTTTGACTGCTACTAACAATACATTGAAGTACTTTTACTGTGTACTTTGTGAGAAATACTCTGTCAAAGTCCCCTCCATATAGCACATAATCGAATGCATCAGTCCGTCCCAGGCGGGAGTTTATAAACCAAAGAGTAACCGCCCTTACGGCACGCTCTGATAAGTAAAGCGAACGCACCCGCAAGGACACCTGGCCAGGGATGTGACAGTTTCAGGGGTTGACCAAATGTTCCTTAAAACCCCTAATGCTTGCTGCAATCTACGCGATTCATCTCCCTCCATCATGTTATGTTGATTTGAAATCAGAAGTTCTGAACATGAGCCCGCCCCGCTCGACCTTCTGAGCCAATCACAGCGCAAGAATGACCTGCCTTCCGTTTCAACCATACTCCTTCCGTTTCCACTATACTTTCTCTCTCACATACATACATTCTTCTCTCACATACATATATTGTCTTCACACATACATACATTCTTCTCTTGCATACATATATTCTCTTCAGACATGCATATTATAAAATATATGTATGTAAAAGGAGAATGTATGTATGTAAGAGTGAAAATATATGTATGTAAAAGGAGAATGTATGTGCGTGAGAGGACCAGTATGAATTATGGCCTGTACGGCCCCTCATAAAATACTGCGCACTTGCTTTCAAGTTGGTAAAGTTGTTTATTTATACGATGAGTTTTGGCACATTTGTATTCTTATATTAACATTGTTTTTTAAACGGCAGGGTATTTCTTCTAATGTAATTGTTTTTGGCCATTGTGGCACATGTGCCCCTTTCGGCCACCGTACATTTAGTCATTTCTGAACACTTTTTCTAATTGTAATATCGTTCTGCATGTGAATGATTTTGATCAAGGAGCTCAAATATGTATGTTAGATTATTGCAGGCCATTGTTCATAAACACAAAATAAAACCTATTTGAGTGGCTGTAAAGAGGGGCAGTGGTGATGGAAAATCCTACCAACAGAGGAGAGAGAATAGCTTTTGAGGGAAGATTTATGGCAGGATGCTGTTCCTCTCCTGAGGTGGTTGAAGAGGACTTCCCTGATTCAGGAAGCAGCACCAGATGAAATTATTACTTCTGGTACTGACTATTTTCTGTGGAAATTGCAGGAACTGTTGATCTGAGGATAAAGGAAACCCTTGGTGATTGAAGACACTTCGAAACATAATTTCAGTTCTGTTGTTGTGGACAGCAGCTGCACTCCTAGTTTACTCATCAGCTTCAGAAAGGTAATAGGGTGGAATATCTTGTATTTCCACCAATCAAGGCATTAGGTGGTAGAGAGATGAGGAGGAAAAGCTGTCATATCTGGGTTGTGAATCTCATTATGTGCAGTCACCAATGTGATTGTTCATAGCAACCGTTAAAGGTGGGGTAGGTAAGTTTGAGAAACCGGCTCGAGATACACTTTTTGTTATATTCCATGGAATGCTCTTAACATCCCGATAGCAATGAATATCTTAAGTGCTTTGACAACAAATCCATTCAAAAATGTCATCTGTGGAAGCCGTAGTACTGTAAAAAGCACGACCAATCATTTGAGCCGGCCCGGCTAAAGTAACTGGATGGCCTACCTGCCTGTCAGCCTTCCATCTGTGCACAAACTTATCTCGTGCCCTCATTGGTCATGTGCGCGTTCGTGTGTGTTGGAGGAGGGGCTCTGTAAGGAAGTAGCAGATTTTTTCCAGTTGTGTATTTTCAAATTCTAGCGCACTCGAGCTGGTTTCTCCAAAATTACCTACCCCACCTTTAAATGCATTGTGCTCATTTCCTGACCCCCATTAACACCTATACACCTGAAGACAAAGATATATTGAAAAATAAGGAAAAGACATAACTTTAGAGAGCAATGCAAGGATTTTGCTTAATCCTTTTTTTTTTTTTTGATTCATAACATTTTGGCGCACTAGCAGCTAAATTCAATGAGTGACTAAGCCACCTTGGGAACATTTCCATGCAGATACAATTGCCGTATGGCTAAATGAATGATTTTATTACGGATGAGAAAGAAGAGCGCAGTGGGAGATTGTACAGTTGCATCTTGTTTCCGGCTTATTTCATTATGTGGATATTTTGTTTTGCAATGATTCACAGCTGTTGTTAACGGTGAACAAACACATATTGTTTTTGTTCATTTCAATGAATGTTAAACCTTAGTTAAAACAGGCTTCTCTCTTTTAGGATTTTGGATGTCATGTAATGATGCACGTTAAATGCTAATACTGAGTGGATGAGGGGAAAGTTGCTTCTCTCAGTTAAAGTTACAAAATATTAGTTGCATATAATACGGCTGTCAGAATATCAGATTTTAGTACAGAATTATCCTGACCACAAGAAAAGCAATATATTATTGTGATATCTATAGAAAGAAATATTTCAATAAAATGTAATCTTTACATTTTTTGTTGTGTGTTTTATCTCTTATTTTGGCAAGCTAATCAGCCCTTTGCTTGGTCAAGGTCTGACAACTTTAACATCCTGCTCCATAAACTGTCATAGGTTATAATCAGGGGTGCACATCACTTTTTTGCCCTGGTTCCCAAAGGAGCACCTGGAGATGTTGCTTGCTGCGCATCCTTAAAATGATATAAACTGTACCTTTTTGAGGGTTTCTTGACTTTATGAACAAAGTGCGCTAGTGAGCACGCTCATGAACTGTTCGCCAGAGCCATCGCAGCGGGTTACTGTGCGGAAGGCCGCTTAAAGCAGACCCGTCACGCGATAGCGAGGGGTAGAGCGAGGGATCGCAGATGCCGTCCGTTGCTTGCGGACAGATAAAAAAATCAAACCCTAAACGGCTCTCTCTCTCTCTCTCTCTCTCTCTCTCTCCCTCTCTCTCTCTCTCTCTTCTCTCTCTCTCTCTCTCTCTTCTCTCTCTCTCTCTTTCTCTCTCTCTTTCTCTCTCTCTCTCTCTCTCTCTCTCTCTCTCTTTCTCTTTCTCTCTCTCTCTCTCTCTAACAGGGTTCTCGCACATCATTAATTAGCGTTAGCAATTCTATGCTATGCTAGCTTTCAAAAGGAATACTGAATTCATAGGAAGAACCTTCAAATCGCTGAGTTATTCTGCGTGCAGATCTATCCGTTCCCACTTTACAGCCAAACTATTCACACTTGTTTGGTTCAAATCGAGCACATTCGCTGTACCCTTTCATTATGCCCCGCAGTGGCATATAATTGTAGATCATATAACAGAAAAGTGCACCTTAAAACACCTTTCATACATAGATCACAGCCTTTCAACCTAGAATAAACACATAGCTGCAAACTGCAAATCTTTTCACGGTGCATTCAGGTAGCTTTTTTCAATCCATAAATAACAGTTTCAGCTCTTTGCCAAATTGCCTGTAATGACTAACAAATACATTTTCACACCATGGCACTTAAGCAGTGACAGTTTGATGAGCAGGCGACGCTCATCTATCATCACAATCCTCTTTACTTGATGCTGATGAACCACATAGACCCCCACCGGGAGGAACACATGAAGGACAGCTGAGCATGCCTTTCATGCGTCGTGACTCTCGCAAGATGTATCACAGTGCTCCGCCTGTTCCTAAAACAAGCGAAAGAAAAAGGTATATGTATGTGTGTGCGTGCGTGTTTCGGTTAATGAGAGGTTGGATCCAAGTTTTAGCTTCAGAGAGGAATTCCCTCCTGCGTGCGAACGTGGAAATGCAAATGACAGCAGGAGTGCATATTCATATGAAAATGGAGTCCTCATCTGTCCTAATAACACTGTAGGGTGCTTTCTGCTGATGTCTGTGAGCGTCTCTACACTGAGTAGGAGGGACTGTCTGGTTTTGAAGGTGGATTATACATGTTACAAAGCTTGGGGGATAACATGTGAATAAATAAATAATGATAAAGGCATTTCCTTAATGTATGATTAACATGTCTTGCTCGCAGTTATTTGATATGCCTCCCCATATCTGCTCAGGGTGTGAAGAGAGAAAAGGGAGCAGGTAGAAAGGTTGTCAAGAAAACACCACGAAACGGCTGCACATAAAAGCCTTAAAGTGGAAGTTGTGACTCTGGGATAGTGAGACTTGGAGGTAAGTGTTCAGGCTTGGCGCTACAAAGGGCAGTATAGTGCCTACTTTGATTGAATCAATTGCTCTGTGTAAGTAGCTGCTGGTGCCGGCCTCCCCAGGGTGACAGAGAGGTCCGCGGAGAGTGAACCAATCCAGCCATCTGTGGCCAGAGAACAGGGAGGATTAACAGAGCAATGCATCATAGCTGTAGCAACCAGTGATGTGTAGCAGACTGTATTTATTGACTCATTGGCTGTATTGATTGTCTCATTTGATGAAAAGTCCAGAGACAACACACAGACGCACAGCGAGTTATGCAAAATATAATGAATAAAGAAAAATATAATGGGTCATGTGTTTTTTTTTCCATTGCATGAGTAAAGGAGCATTTCACAGCAACACCCTGTTATTTTCCACACACATCTGCCCAGTTAGTCAAAGTAAACCTCTGATTACAACACATTTCCCTGCCACACATCATCTCATTAAGTACATACAGTAATGGCTTGGTAATTTACCTGGGCATGTATGTTGCTATTCCTTCTCTCTGACATTGACATTGTTCCAGCAGCAGCGGTTTATTTAACACCCCATTAATCTCTGCCGACAGAAGACCGTGTCGCAGCAGATGTTTGTTAACAAACTTCTGCTCAATCCCCCTCGTGTTGTTCTTCACCCTCATCGACATGAATCACTGCGTCAAGAGGGTCACGACTCAAACGGTCGAGGACTTTGAGTGTTAACTGTTATTTCGGGAGCCTTTTGACAACAATAATTTGTTTTTGTCAAGATGCCGGATTGTTTAGTCCACAGCTCACCCTTTGCTATTTGCACGACATGGATTCATTTGTCGAATTATGCCAAAATCACTGAGACTGTACCACATCTGAGTGCATGGTCATCAGTATGCTAATGTCGACGATGTAGAGAAACAATCCAATTATTGAATGAGGGCCACTGTCCATCAGCTCTCTTATTGAATCTGTGTGCAATTAATGAGTGCAGAGCAACCAGAACACTGAGTAAATTAACACTTTGGTAAACTTAGACAGACAAAAACACGACTGTCTCCACTCAAAAAACTGAAAAAGATAAGCAAACGTCAGAGGATTATTGTACTGTCTCTCACTTTTCTCTTTCCTGTCTCTTCTGAAGCAGCAGGATAGTGTGAAAAGACATTATACAGAGCACTGCATTGGCCTTAGCTGTTTAAATTGAATATCTTCTTGTACCGTATGCTGGTGAGTGGGTGTGAGGGAAACAGACGGAAGGAAAGTAAAGGGAGAAGAAACAGGCAGATTTCAGCCTTAGGGCTCATGAGGTAAGGACACTTAACTTATCGCATGCATTGCCATAGTCAACATGATTTTTATATCAGCTCTATGCTTTTAAAAACAAAAGGAATAAATCATCTCCTTTTCACAAATATAAATATATTTTATGTTTAGTATGTACAATAATGATTCACCATCATCAAAGACATTAGTATTGAAGGGAAAAGCATGTCAGTAAACTCTTGCTAATGGATACAGACACTGCAAAGACAGCCATGATTGATTGGCGTGCTCAAGCACTCTCTCTGAAGAAACGAAAGCGAGACAATAGAAGTTGTATCGAAGAAGGCTGGTGGTGTGGCTGCGCCGTGCCATGCCGCAGTCTACTAGTCCTGAGAGCTACGAGACCCACTGTCCTCCTCCAGCTCCCACTCAAAGTTCTGTCCGGTCATTTGGTAGAACATCATGTTAAAGGGTTTGTAGAACTTGTGCAGCCGGCGAATCACGTCCGGGTCTATTTTAGGGTGAGTTCTCCCTTTTGACTTGCCGAGGCATCGGGGAGTGCTGCTGTCCTCTGGCTTCTTCAGACAAGGAAATCCTTTAGTTTTATTGAAGTAAAAGTGTTTGTCTGTGACGATGCGTTTGAGTCCCAGGAAGTCCTGCACTTTGCCCATCTCGCCCGCGGGATCCACGATGAGTCTTTCCCCGCTGACAAAGTGCATTTGGGAGAGAGGGAAATACTGCATCCAGCTCTCCAAGTGGAGCGCATATATTCCAATGCGCAACGCACTCCACGAAGCATCTATGAGACCCAGCGTCCGGTTCTTAAAAGCCAGAACCTCGAAGGTGTTGATCTCGGGTTTCTTGGACAAAGTCTGTGTGTAGTCCGAAATGGCTCTGGTGACGGGATTACGCACCACTATAATAAGCTTGATGTCCCTGGCCATGGTGTGGATGCGCTTGGGGGCATGGTTAGTCACAAAGTAGCTGGGTGTCTTCTCCATAGTGATCTGGCCCTCCAGCGTTGAAGGCATCAGGTCTCTGGGAACACAAACAGGGGAAGAGAGAGAAAGAAAATCTGCTTAGCAAAGTATTATCCTCAACACCTCTCCCAGCGCTAATGAAATAAAGCAAATTTGGTACATTTATTAAGCAGTCCATTATTTGAAATTACAATTGAAAATAGCTGTTATTATCACTGGACATTATGTTGCAGGGAGAAACATATAGCTAATTACACCCATGGAGTAATATGCGAGAGATAAAAGAAAGAAGATGAAACGGCAGGCAAGCAAGTATGCTCATTGCTTAATTGACTCCATCTGTGTTACTCCAGGAGCTGTTTTGGAACTTTAATAATGAGTTCGCTGCATATCATTAATACTGGGGTGCCTGGGGTATTGTTTTGTCATACATTTATTATGCATGCAAGGCTCACACTCTGTGCAGGCAGTTTTATTTCTTATGCACTTCCTCTGCACTGGATGAAGGCTTTGCTTCTCCTCTCTGTGATGTGTTTAAGGTTAGGGCTGTTCATTGAAGGAAGCAGTGATTAATTATGAGGTTCACGTGATAATTTGTGGTACAATAGAAATGTCCTTTATATCAGGAAGAAAGGAAAGCCATTTGCCATCGCCACAAATATATTTGTGGGTTCATGAGGATGAGTTACAGGATACAATGCAGAGTAAATCACGTGCATAGAAGAAGCAAGTCTTGTTTCAACACTTTCTATTTCTGTATCAGTAATAAAGCATAGCATTCGCCTCAAGCAAATCCTTATCAAATGTTTACACTGATGTTAATTCCAATCCGTGCTGTTTCCTTTGTTTGTAGGCTATGTGATTCAGTGCTAAATTGGTACATTAAATCCTCTGCGAGACACGTTGTTTGCTTCACTCCCAACAAACACGAGTGCAGGAGCTTTACTATAAAATATAAAGTGAAACTATAATCCGAGCTAGACACAGTTTTTCCTCCCCAAATTAGGTGATGTTTGCATGAAAATTAATGTATAATCAGTCAAGTCCAAAATCCAAATGATTATACGAGGAGACTTACAGAGTTGGTGCAGAATAATTCTCTATAATTTCTGGGATAAAAGCTTTTCCTTTTCCCTGCAATATTTTGTTTCCATTACGCTGCCCTGCACCACAAACCTACAGTTGTAACGATATAGTCACATCAATCATTTGCATCTTGGACATATTCTAAATTAACTGTTCTCCAGCAGAGAATCCAATTTACTCGGCAAAACATAAGAGCTGTTATGCACATATCGACCACCCTCACACACACACACACACACACACACACACACACACACACACACACACACACACACACACACACACACACACACACACACACACACACACACACACACACACACACACGGATACTGGGCTGAAAGTCTCACAACTGGTCTGGTAATTGCATCTCAGTAACAGTATTGCCTTCCTGATGGGTAATTTCCCTCTGGATTATGTTTGTCTCTTGACAGCATAGAACTGTGGTTACTTCTGGACCTGTAATGGGATATTAAACATATCAACTAATGGCATAGTCATGAGAAGGAGTATTCGTTTTCATTATATTTCACACTTCTTCCCTTACGGTAGTGAATGGATAAAGATTTGTGTAACCTTTCAAGGACTTTACCATCTAACTCAACTCCAAAGAGGGTAGATGGTTCAAGAATGCAACATCATGATGTATTGCAATAAAAAAAAGGTCAAATATACCACAGGAAATCACCTTGGAGCAAACGATCTCCCTGTGTATGGACCTGAGCTGCAGCGTCTCACTGGTAAATGTGTTGTGCGTCTTTGATGCATATCCAATCGACAGGACAGATGTTCAAGGTTACCTTTTCCAAGGCGTGCACATAACAAGCTATCGTCCTCTTGGGCGCAACGCTAATCATAATGCATTCAATTATAAGACAAAGGAAACTGCACAGGCCAAATACTTTGTTATATTACAGAGGCTCCATTTTGATTGGGAATCAGTCATGGATCATGTACGTCTCAAATGTCAGTGGGACGATGAGGCGGGACGGAAATCAAAATGCTGATAAACAAGCTAATTTCTCCGTGCGTGGCAAATGACACCTCTGGCCTTGCAGTCTACTGGAACTAGAGTAAACAAGAGCAAACCATTAACTCTCGCTTCTTCTTTTTTCTCATCAGTGGCACAGCTCAGCACAGGTCATTCAGGTGGGTAGGTAAATAAAATCCATAGCGCTAAAGAGGCCCTGCGAAACCATCTGCTGTTTACTGCCTCAGACCGAGGACATAGCACATAACATTAAACTGTCCAAGGCTTTATTTACATAGAGGTGTGAAGATAAAGGCATTCCTACTTTATGCATGCAGACCTTTAATGATCTCTACATCGGGATACATGCAAGAATTATCTACAGTATGTGGCTTTCAGATATATAGTTGATGTAATAAAATAATACGGACAGACTTTAGCGGCTCATAAATCTGAGATACTTCACTGAACAAAATGACAGCCATTTAATTATCTTTGATACTGAGTCTCAATACTGTTTTGTACAGAAACAAATATATCCCTTGCAACCAGATCCATTCAATATATCAACAGTACACTAGTTGGATAAATAAAAACAATATAAGACAAAATTAATCAGAATCTGGTTTATGACCAAGTAGGTTTACACAGAGGACTTTGCTTCTGGTGTAAATGGTGCTTACATAGACACAGCAAGAGGAACACGTTTTGGAAAGTAGCATCACATAGAACAATTATACAATTATATACACTATTATATACAGTATACACAAAGATAACCATAGTACACATGATAAATACTATAATTTAAAGTGGAGAGCTGTGCAGAAGAAAAAAAAGGTTATTTATTTTTGTAAACGTTTAAGCTATATTTTATTCCAGTCGTTCAAAGGTTGTGTACATGAAATTCAGATCTGGCAGATATACCCAGTTGACTCTTAAAGAGCTTACGAAATGAAGGAAAAATACTGTTCGTATTACGATAATATATACTATTATTAATGGAAAATCATTTGTCATTAATGACAATATGCCCGCTGTATTTATAAATCGTGATTTATTACAACTTTCCATGCTCGCTTCCGATGTTACACGACCGCTCCGAACAAAACAGCTTTCGCCGGTTAGTGACGTCACGCACGTCACGAGTAGATCACTTTTTGAATAATACACTACCTATATGGCTGATGTCGGACTCTGGCTCGGATATTTCGACAGAATCGAGTGACAGTGAGTCGTCAATAGACTCGGTGCACTTTCAAGAAGAGGAGGATTTTATGGAAGAGGATGCCGGTGTGGTTGAATCAGATCATGCAGGCGAGTCAAACGTGGTGGAACCATACCAGTTTGAGCCACAGTATTCAAGTAGCGGTAGAGATACAGACAGGAGTGAACATGGGGATGATGATCCTGGATTTGGCGGAGATCCGGTGCGGCAACAGAACACAGACTGGTATATACATTTGACTTTAATTCATAGAGATTTTCATAGATAGTAAATAAATAATAATAAATAGCAGGCACACTTGGCACAGGCAACATAACACAGACTGGTATATACATTTGATTAGAATTCATAGAAATGTTCATAGATAGTAAATAAATAATAATAAATAGCAGATATTACTGCATCAGACTCTGCTAGGCTTGGAACTCACCACAGAAATAGGTCTCCTCCTAAAAATGCAATTATTTCTCAACTATTTTTTGTACATTTAGAATTTTGTACATGTGAAGAATGTACAATCATGGAAACAATTGAAGAGTGCCAATGCTGCCAAGAAAAGGATGTCATGGTGGCCAAAATGGAGGAATTCAATGAATATGAGGGAGATGGTACAAACATAACCTGCGTAATAGATCACCCAGGATTCCAATCAAATTGTCTGGATGTTTGGGTGTTGCAGACAGCCTACCATAATTATTCAAAGAGGGACAGACAACAAGCAGGTGATCAGCCACGTAATGAGTAAGTTACTTGTGTTCACAAATGTGTAGAGCTCAGAAACTTTGATGTAATGTTGGGAAGTCTAATGGTCACTCTGGCAAAGTTACAGAATAAATAGATAAATAAGCAAATAAGGTGGAAGTGATTACCATTGACATTTATGATCTTGTATTTTACAGAATGTATCGCTATGTGGCATACCGCCAGCTAGTGAGATTTTGCTGGGGAATACTTGGTAAGAACCACAGAATCCCACTGCCATCATGTGCCATTAAAAAGATCCAGGCGAAGTTTCCATCTGACATCTACACGTCGTTCAAGTATCCAGCACTTGATTAGAGTCAATAACAAAACAGATTGTCAGTTCAGTGATTAAATCTGCTTCTAAACAGCACAACAGCCTCTCTCTTGTCTGGTTTTTCCCACCGACTGCTGAGTGGATCTGGGACATAGAAAGGTTCCTCCTCGACATTGTCTTCGCACAAGCGTAGAGTCTCGGTCAAGAGTTCGGTAACATACTCTGCAAAACAAATTTATAATCAAGAATGATATACCATATTTTCTAGTGCCCCAATTATGCATAGCATTCCCCGAGGCACTTGGCATAATTCATCATTGTAGTTGAAACTGTACACTCCATTCTCACATTGCTCAAGTTTCAATATTTACACAATAATATTGTCCAAGATTGAATGTTTTTCATTAATTTGGTAAAACGGTACAATTAATTTTTTTATACTCTCACTTTCACTTTCTTACCATATGTAGCTGCTGTATTCACACATCTAACTAAATGACCACCTTTCTTTGCTTTGGGGAATATCACAGTGTATTAACATATAATTATGTGAAAAATTTGATGTGTGGTCCATAGTTGTAGAAAATATTATTACCTGCTTAGAGACATTTTTTTCTTGCGGTTCTGAGCTATAGGCAGCCGACCTGGGCACATTTCTCGAACACTGAATGTTTACAATGTGGTTGTTGAGGGACTGCCATTTGTCAGCAATCATTTCTCCATTTCCATCAGGAGTTGATACGGCACACCAATATA